GAAACAAGTGATTCTTCGAGACCTAACTTTTCTTAGCATATATTATTATGTTATCAAGTAGTGTTATTTGCTTTAATAGCAATTATAGGGCTTCCTTATTGACAGTGAAACCAGTAAAGTTGTGAATTGGCTCCGAATTTACAAGAAGGTGGTGAGAGAGGATCAGGTGGGTGTCACCTGCCCTCCACTTATTTGCATAAAAGGATTCTGCTTGCCTTGAAATGAAACCGTCTTGGTCCCCTGTCGTAGTCTAAAGCCTTGGCGACAGTGATCTCTCCGTTGTTCGGGTCGATGGCAAAGTATTCGCTGGCTCGAGTCTTCTCGCATGGACAGAACTCGTAGACAACTTTTGCGTGCAAGCCGGCATCGGCGTCGGTGGCGTTGAGCCTGACAACGGAAGTGCCCAATCTCAGGCCTTCACGGATTGGCATGCCTCTCGGCGGCCGGTACGTGAGCATCGCCGCCTGGCCGCCGGACTCCGAGCCGAGACTGGAGAGGACGGCGCCTCGAGACGCCTGGAACTGCGGCGCATGGTCGTTGAGGTCGACGAGTGTGATGATCACGGGAATACTGCCCGTCTGCCGAGGTAGGCCGGTGTCCATGGCGACAAGAGTGAGGTTGAGACGGCCTTGGGCGTCGAGGGGTAGCTCGGCCGCTTCTCGGTCCAACGGTCGGGTCGGCCAGATGCGCAGGGGCTCGAGACCTCGGCCGGTGGAGATGCGCCGACCGGTCGAGTCCGTCAGTCGGGCCATCGACTCCTCCATCCCGTCGAGATGATAGCCCACCGGGGCGGAGAGGAAGCCGGCAGTGTCGGACTGTCCGGACGCGCGGGGCTGAGGATCGTCCAGATGGAACCAGTCGGCCCCGCGACCCACCAACTGGTAGACCAGAGTCCCGTTGCTCCCGGCGTCCGGGTCGACGGCGCGGTCCAAACTCTTGGCCTGGCCGCGCAACAGGCCGGCCAGCATCGCGTCGTCCGAGGCGACGGAAGTCGCGGCCGGACCGTTGGTCTCCACGAAACTGACGCGCTGCGCCTCGAGGCCCGGCCAGGCGGGCGGATTGTCGTTCACGTCGTGCACTACTACTCGTAGAGCCAGACGAGTAGTCGGCCCCGCCTCCCGAGGCGCCGGCCAACGCATGAGGATGTGCACCAGACGCGAGCACTCGCCGGCCTCGTCCGGCGGGTACAAGAGGCCGCCGACGGGACTCGAGTC